CTGCCTCCCTCTCTCCTAGGAGTCTACAGCAAGCCCAGCCTCTCAGCCCTGCCCAGCCCTGTGGTCCCCTCAGGAGGGAACATCACCCTCCAGTGTGGGTCACAGAGAGGATTTGACAGGTTCATTCTAACTGAGGAAGGAGGAGACAAACCCACCTGGACACTGGACTCACAACACAACAGGGGGAATGTCCAGGCTCTGTTCACTGTGGGCCCCGTGATTCCCAAGCACAACTGGACACTGAAATGCTACGGCTATGACAAGAACAACACGCAGGTGTGGTCAGAGCCAAGCGATATCCTGGAGCTCCTGATCTCAGGTGAGAAATGCCAGACTAATGCAGGACATTTCCAGTCACCAAACACATTGAGAGCCCGAACTTGATGGCCCCCAAGCTGACAGTGGGTGAGAGAATCTCCTGAACCTGAGACCCCGAGTGTGATACCCTCAGGGAAGGACAGAGGGCAGGGGCATCTCAGGCACCAGCCCCTCAGCTGGCTCTTCCTTCCTCCAGGGCTGTCCAGGAAGCCCTCCCTCCTGACCCAGCAGAGCCCTATCCTGGCCCCCGGACACAACATAACCCTCCAGTGTCACTCTGACCTCAGCTATGACACATTTGCTCTGTCCAAGGACAGGGCAGGTGACCTTCCCCAGCGCCCTGCCAGGCAGCCTTGGGCTGGGCTCTTTCAAGCTGACTTTGTCCTGGACCATGGGAACCGCTCCCATGGGGGCCGCTACAGATGCTACGGTAGACACAATAACTCCTCAGAGTGGTCAGCACCCAGTGATCCCCTGGACATCCTGATCCCAGGTGAGGAGCCCAGGGCTCATTCAGGGACCCAGATTCTGCACAGGACCTGCTAGGGGAACTCAAGATGAGATGGCAGGGTGTGGTGTCAGGAAAGGAGGGAGACAATGGGATGGGAGGCCTGGAATGGTATATTCAGAGGAGGCAGAGAACGAAGATTCTCAGAGACAGCACTGCTGAGGCCTCAGCTCAGCATAAGCTGGGGCAGCCCCTGACCACCCTCCTTCTCTCCAGGACAGCTCTCTGCCACACCATCTCTCTCAGTGCATCCAGGACCCACAGTGTCCTCAGGAGAGAATGTGACCCTGCTGTGTCAGTCACAGAGCCCGATGGACACTTTCCTTCTCTACAAGGAGGGGGCAGCCGATCCCCCCATGCGTCTGAGATCAGAGCCCCAAGCACAGCAGTCACAGGCAGAATTCTCCTTGGGAGCTGCAAGCTCAGGCCTCAGGGGCACCTACAGGTGCTATGGCTCTCGGAACTCAACTCCTTATCTGCTGTCACAGCCCAGTCATGCTGTGCAGCTCGAGGTTTCAGGTGAGCTATCCTGGACCCCATCTATCCAGTGTAAGGGTCCCTGTGACACTGCTCCAAGGACAGTTCTGCATGGGGTTAG